CATCTCCTCATCTCCCTCCTCCCCACCCCCCAGTCTACTTCGTCTTCAAATGGAACTGGTTAGTTTTCCAAACAATCCAAGGACTTCAGTCATATTCCAATTATCGAAAATGAAATCCTGCCTAGTCTAATTAAAATAACAGGCAGGACTATCAAAAAAGTGCATACATACTGATAGGATCACATTCAATTCAGATCATTCAACTTATTGACCGGGGAATACAATGTACCAGGACTACAACATAGAACTTGTTTTTCATAAAAACAATGAAAGTACGAAACTACAGAAACACTAGAAAGACTCACAAGCAGGTGTAATATGCAAAATTTAGCTCCTTTTAAACACAGCCATACTTCCAGTGATTGTGTCCTCAACACCTTGCCCAGTTCAGAGTCTTGAAGAAATAAATATGAGTGTGTACATGTTAAGTACCTGTGTAAGTGGCTATTGACAGATCCAAGCAAGTCAAAACAGCATAATGTGGCAGGAAACAACCAGAGAATTAACAGTAGTAAGAAAGCCTAAGTACTGCTGGGAGAGGAGACAACATTTAAGGTAAACAATGACACCTTAAGGCCTCTGCCTATAGAGAGAAAGATGACCAAAAAACCCAACATGGAAAAAATAGCCAAAAAATAAGATGAAAGAACAAAGAAGCACAAAGCCAGTAATCAAGTAGAAATTAGATTATACACAGTCATGAATTTGCTGTTGAGAGACAATTACAAGTACAGTTGAAAGACAGTGATCATGTTAAGATGAAAAAAAATGAAGGCAACAAAAATATTATTGCTAGCAAAAGCAAAGACACCAAACACACAAGAGTTACAGGAATCAAGATGAAAGCAACAGGTGCTAGATAAGGGTTTCAAGCTTATATATAAGCAAGACAATTTTGAGACTACTTTGAAGAAAGAAATGAAAAAACAACATACTACATATGGCAGAGTTCAGCAACAACAGAACTGTAAACGCTGTTGGTGAAGAAGGTTTAAGAGCAAACCTGAAACAGGCAGGCCATGGAAGGAAAATTTACTTTTGGAGGTGAACTAAATAAGACACAAAATAGACCAAAAAAGCACTAGACTGGATCAAGTTCAATAAAGAAAAGATAAATAGACAGGAAACAAGTGCAGCAAACATGATTGAAACACTAGAAATATATAAGGGCAGAGAAAGAAGAGAGTGAGAAAATAAGTTAGGTTTGTCTTTCTTTTTTAAATTTAAGATAGATGAGAGCACCATTTTATGAAAATACAGAAGAAAAATCCGAGAGAAATTTATTAATCAGTAAGACATACTCCTTTGACATTGCTAAGTGGTGACCATTTGGGTGGGTTCAGTGAAGCAGAAAAAGAAAAACTAGTTTGGAAGATTAAGAAACAGATTGTATGGGTAAACAGTCTATCAGTACTCAAGTCAAAGAGAAGGCAACGGTTAGAAAGGATCACAAGAATTTCAGGCAAACATCTAAGGTAGGAGGGCAACTAGCTTATTTCAGAGCAAAATGTAGCAAAGCCATTGGAGGAAAAGTATGTAAAGGAGGAGAATGCTGAGTATAACTGAAAATGAAAAGGGTGAAGGGCAGGTTTGTAGATGAAAAAGGTAGATAAGGGAAGTTTCAGAATCATGAAAGTAAAGATTTGTAAGTTTAAGAAAAAAGTTACAATAAATCTTGCAGGTACTGATGCTATACAAGTAATAGCACAGAACAATCAAATGTTTTTCATTTATAGCTATTAGTTTAACTAGAACAAAATAAATAAACTAGAATAAAGCATTTATAGCATGCTGTCCTACATAGTTCTCAGTCTGCAGGTAGTGGAGCATCACCACATGCGAGTTTCTAGTTTTAAGCTAGTAAGCCCTATGTTCTACTTCACGTGAGGAAGGAAGAAACGGTATTTAAACACAAAACAGGATTAAGAACTTGCCTCTGTAATATCTGATCATTGTGCAAGGACACACACTGTCCATCTGCAACTTACGCTACACATTTTTCTGCTTCTAAACACACTCCCTCTAGTCCAGCAGTCATATCTGTTCATGCTTTGGTTCGTCTTCAGACTGCCCCCCAAGAACTGTATGTCTGGTACTTTAACATACAGCAATCTAGATAAGGGATGAACAGAGATGACAGATTGAGACTATAACCAAGAATCTTTTGAAGCATCCCTATAAAGTCTAAAGTTTTTCCGAGGATTTCTACTAAGCATTCCAATACACAGTACCCCTAACACGGTGCTCCCCAAATTTAACTTTAAACTTGAAAAAAGTTTTTGCTCCTTTCCTGATGTTTAGAACATTTTTAACAGCACTAAGAGACACATCAAATATTTGCATTACTCATCTCACTCTCCTTGCAGACACATGCCTCTTCAGTTTCAGTTCTGCTGATGCTACTTTTAATTACCCTTCTGCAAAACCTGAATAAGCTACAAATAGCAGTGTCTGAAGCAGGAAGCACAGCTGACCATCAACAGTACAGCAAGACTGGCAACACAGAACGCTATGAAAATACATTAGGTACTAACACAGTACTTATTTCCTAACTAAACTGCTCTCCAACACAGGCTTTTGCAGGATTGTTTTCCCCCTAGTTGATTAATTTCCCCTGAAACAAATAAAGGTAAAGCATAAAGTTATTTTTCCAAAAACTTCTGAGGATGCTATAATTACTTTTACAAAGGTTAAAATCCAGCCTCCTCAGAGATCTCCTGTAAGTCCTAATCAAAGTCTTTGATACTGTAATTACAGCCTCAAATAGTTAGGTAGGCAATTCAAGCTCCCAAGCAAATGCAGAAGGACACCTGAAACTTTTTTTTTGTTCCAGATATGTAGAGAAATAAAAGTCTCAAATGTGATTTAAAAGCACTATTAAAAATAAGTACGGAAACTTCCATTTAATTCTAGTAAAGATAACACTCAAATAAGAAGAAAAGCTATAAATGATTCCAAGTAAAAAAAAAAAAAGATATTTCTCCTTTTTCATTAAAAAAGTGCAACAGTGAATAGATACTGCTAACTACAGAACTATCACAAAAACAAACTAGACAGCACCCTGAAGTTGAGAGCCAGGAACCAGTCAAGAAAAGACGGTTTAAGCAGGCTGTGAAATACCAGAGGAAAGGGAATCTTTAACACTGTTGAATCTCAACAGCACACCCAGTAGCTTCAAAGCTTTCAACTGGAAAGAACATGCAACCATATGCATGACAGTACACAGAAGAACACAGTTTACAATTTTTACATAAATACAAAGTTATCTATTAATACTAGAATATTTAACATGCTTGCAAAAGTCACCAGATCTAAGATTAAAAGAGTCAAGGCAGGACGTATTGCTGTCAAACAGAGGGTGGAGGGAAGATATTGCCACTTGTGCACTGGCTGCAAAGCTACTTATGAAAGCTGACTCCACCACACACACGGTTGTTTCCTGCTCAGTTTGCTGCCTGCAAACATGCTCTCATTGAGCAGTCATTTACTAGTAGCATCAGCTGCAGGAGAGCATAAACTGAATCAAAGACAGACAAAAGAGGAAAACTGGTCATCAAACCCTCATCAGTTTTGCAGCAGATTAAGCTCAGCACATAAGAAGTTTCTTGAGCTATAACAAGAACTTGAGCTAAACTTTTAGCTGAGCTTGCCAAAAGAACAGAAAGGAAAAAGAAAAGTAAGTGTGAATGTATTTGTTTTCATCTTTCTTTAAGATAGAAGGCAGGAAATATGCAGATGCAAAGAGGAGAAGAGGAGTTGATACAGAACAAAAAAGTGGCCCCTAAAATGGCTGCGATAAAGTTCACCTAACATGCATGGTACCAAAAAAAAAAAAAAAAAAGTTGACCAAATAGTTTGTCTCTTCAGAAAGAAACTAACATACTGAACTACATTTTGGTAACCCAATACATTTTTTATGAAATCAGCTTGCTTGCTGATTGCTAGTTTGTAAAAATATGGAAGATGCAGTAAGGTATGAGATGGGGGAAAAAAAAGATACACAAGCATATGCAAATGAGCATTCATATAATGTTTGCATTTATGTTCTTTCAAGCTATTAAGTGAAAAAGAAACATCTAATAAAACTAATCAATCATAAACACCAATCACAACAATGAAAGACATGGAAAAAACAGTTCCTTACAAAATAATCTACCTTCAACTCCCTCCCTCTGGCCCACCCCTGCCCTTGAGGGAAAAGAGCAATTATTTCTTAATTATTTTATGAAACAATGTTAACTACTTTCCGGGTTGTTTAGTAGGATCTAACCTACCTAACCTAAAGAAAGATAAAACTTGGATGCAAAACCAACAAGATCAATGTTATTTCCTTCCTAGAGAGTTAGAACTTGCAACAGCTTAACTAAGACACATTTGCAAAGTACAATAAGATTTTTTTATTTCTTGGTCTACCCTCACTTAATAGAAATCATGCTGACAATAGTCCTCTCATAAAAGAGTAGCACGCGTATTCCTTATATAGAATAACAATACTAGTACAGCCTGAGCTGTTTGGTGGGGGTTTTAATTATCAACTAGAAACAAAAAGAACAGCTAGCATCACAGAAGTCTGCAGGCCTGTAGTGCATTTCTGTAGCCACAATTGGTCCTTTCATTACAGCTGGCTATACTGTTCCAAGAATATTCCTCAACGGTAGTAAGCATAAACTAGTCAAAACCTAAGATGTCAGTGACAATCACTCAAAGGAAAAAACATATTCTCCTTATTGTGGAAACTAATTCTTGCAGAAAATTTACTACTGCATCTGCTTTCACTAGGTTTCACAAACAAGAAAGTAACAGGAGGGTTTACTCCTAAATTAAAAGCTTCTACCTTGGGAGTTAATAAAATTTCTTTGTGCATAACTGCAAACACCTAACATGGATCTTTGTCACTGTACCAAACTTCTCAGCATATTCCAGTCACACGTTGTTATGACTAGCCATCTGTTACAAAACAACTGTTGCCATCAGCAGGACATGGTAGCGTTATACCATACCTTCTGGTAAACTATAGAGCACACGAGGTCTTTAACAGCAGAGAGGGACAGGTCCTGAGCTTCAATGGTGACAGTCTCCCGAGTGAGACCAATCTGCAGAAGGAAGGAGACGCCATGCATAGAGCCCCGAGAATTGGTGAGGCTCTGGGTACTGAAACTGCCATTGGAGAGTCGACTGGAGAGCCCCGACTGGGGACTTGAAGACAAAGTTGGGGTTTGCAGTGCAGCAGCATGACACGAAGGTGGGGAAAACTTCTGTAAGGATGGGGGAGAAGAGTTGTTTGCTGACATCTGACTTGCTTTACTCTGTCAAGATCTCCCTAGTAGTCAAATTCTAAGAAAAATATGTTGTTGGTTCTTGGTTTGAAATGAAAACAAGGATAATGTAACTTTCCCTTTCTTAGTTCAGTAAAACGCCCCTGAACAGTAAAACTTAATTTTCCCTTTCATTCTGTGCAAGCCAAAGAGTAAAAATAATTTCAGCTGTAAGTTACTTTAAATTAGAGGTTCTCTTCCCACAGTCACAATCAGCTGATCAAAAGCAGATTGCCTGTCCTTTAGCACCACGTCCAGACAACAGAGGCTTACATAAAGGCCTCACAGAAATACATCAGCTCTGCTGTTTTATACTTGTCCTTCATTTTTATGTATTAAAAAAAAGCTGGAAACACAGACGGAAATAAATGTTGGTAACTCATTAAAAGTATCCTCGTTCACCTAATCCCACAGAACATATCTTAAATGCAGATTCATCTTCATGTAGATAGTCTTTTGGAATAAAAAAAAAGTGTATCCTTGAGCAACAACAGAAGTCCACGTATGTGATGAATCTATTCCTCCTTCAGAAAGTCTTCTCTGAATTCACAGGACACGGTTAACTTGGAGAGCAGTGAAGGTATCTGATTTCATTTTTATAAAATGTTTTAGCCCATTAAATGCAGGAGCAGAATGTCTGAAGACACAATCCCATTAAATGTAATCTCTAGCTTCACCCAGATAATCTCCAGCATTTTGAAACGTTGTAGTCTGCCTGTAGGGGAAAAGATAAAGTTGTTATTTCACATGAAATGCATAAAATTGCACAGCAATGTCATAACCACTCTACTTTGAAGCAGTAGGATCACCAATTCCTTGTACTCAAATATGTTATGTTAGTAACATTTTGTACTTGTAACTCGAACTTAACTGTTTTCCCACTGTATGATACACAGGACAAATCAGAACTAACATGTTACCACATCTTTTAATTAACGGTAATTTGGGGGTGGAAGAAAAGAAAAAAAAAAGGGGGGGGGGAGTAGACCACAGGTATACTCACAAGCTGGTGGGTACAGAAAAAAATTTATTAAATGCATTGAAATGTCCAAAAAACTATAATGTCAAAACTCAAAAAAACTCTATGTAGCATGTACTCAGGATACCATTTTAATACTTTTATTCAAGACAACTGAAGAACACTTTGCACAAACTAACTGTAGGAAGATATGCATAGCATACAATTGAGCATTGGTTCTTTTGGGGGAAAAAAAAAAAAAAGTCATTTAATCCTTACATGTCTGATTAAAAAAGCAAGCCTGCTACAACCTTTTAAAATAAATCTTTTCAAGAGCACAGGCTCAAAATACTTGTTACAAGATGCTGTGCTACCTGATTCAATATTTCAAGCATTTCATGAGCAACTGAAATGCTCGAAAAGAATCATTTTTAAATTCCCCATGCAACTTCTGCCACAGAAAAAGTTAGCTGTGAATGCAAAAGTGGTTCAAGTACATAGATGATATGTATCAGTAACAGTTTTTAAAGCAGCATAGATCCATACAGGACACGAAAACCAATAAGCTCGTGTATTTTTTCCTTCTCTTAAAAAAAAAAACTGAGAAAGAATATTACTAAGATTAAATGAAATGAAATTTTATAAAATAAATGCCACAGTTTATCACACGCAATATAAACTGTCCTTACTAGAAATAAGGCTGATAACTGGTAAAACAGTCCATTTACTAGATTATGCACTACTGGTATTACCAGTGTAATAACTCAAAACCCCACTGCCATTGCATTCTAAAAGGTAGATACGGAAAGAAAGGTACATGAATTGCAGTACTGAAATGCAAATAAGCTCTTGGTTCTGTGATAAAAATTCCTAACAGGGGCTCCAGAAGAAAGAACAAAATGATACCTTCTGGATTTTCAGCACAGGTATCTACAAACCGTTGTCTTCAAATAGTCAAGAGCTACCGGACATTTACCAACAACACCTGAAAAGGCCACTTCTGCCTTAAAGAACACACTAAACATGATACAGATGAAGGTCATAAATAGGAAGAATAAAGGCAGCAACAGTAACACTTAAGGCCCTTTCTCAAGAAAGCAGCTTCACAGTGCCTTCAACTTTGCTTGAAGATGACTTATTTTTGTTTTCTACATATTGTTTTTCTCTCCCTCACTTCTGACAGATACCAGAGACAGCAAATACCAAGCCTCAGGGGTGGATCTGAACTAAAAACCAATAATGCCTAACCAACATAACAGAAAATGGAAAAGCCATATGATGTGAAAGAATTAACGGGTCTACTAAGCAAGTTTAATTTAGACGGTGAAGACACGCTGTGAAAGCTACCTACAGCTGCCTAATTAGAATGTTAATTGTATTTACCAAAAGCGTGATCCATTTGCATTTACAAAGCCTTTTCATACCAAGTGTATTTGCATATAAGCCTTTAATGAAGTTTATTTTTGCTACTTAATAGGAAAGAATGGATCTTTCTAAGAAAGGAAAGCCATAGAAACTGCTCACTTTGTAGTCAGGATAAACTGACTCCGAGGATCAAATAAAATAAGTGCATATTGAAATTTGTATTCAATCCTACGATTCTACATTTACACATATATGTGTATATTAAAAAAACCCTAAACCTCATAAAGCAGAGAGGCACAAGGGCTGCGAAGGCAGCCCATCTGCCCTGCTGCGCAGCCCGCAGCCCGCTTTCCAGCCTGCCCTCGCCGCGGCAGCGCTGACCCTGCCCTTCCTCTCGGGGCTGCTCCCGAGCCAAGCAGCTCTCGGCGGCTCCTCCAACATCTGGCCCCTCGTTCGCCCCCCTCTCCCCCTGCGAGGCACGGCGCGGACTCCGAGGGGTTTCCTAAGCCAAAATCACAGTTGCCATCTCTACTTGCTACTGAGCCAGTTGGCACTGGGAATGCCGGCCAGCCGGCTGTGTTGCAGACTTCAAAGTCTGCTAGACCAGCTGTCCTAATTCCCTAAAAGTTTCCATGAACATTTTCCAAGAGCTTTGAATAAAACAGGTTCTCCCGCAGAATATAAATGAATAACCAATGCCTGCCATACAGTATAACTCCCCTAAACACACTTGTGCATTTGTTACAGCTATTCTCCATATTATTCCTAAAGGCAGTGGCATAATTATACTACCCAGTTAGACAAGCCTGATATGAAAAAAAGATATTAATAAAAGAAAATACATGAGGGTGTTTACTCCTTGGAGAAAGACTTTTAGTTTGCCACTTGCACAGTTTGGAAGCTGAAAATTCTGGAAAGAGCTTCCTGAGGAAATGTTGTACTGCTTTTGAACAAGAGGAAGCATTACACAGGAATACAGGAAGCAGACGAGAGGAACAAATAACACACGCACTGTCATACCTCCTCTTGGGCAGTCAAGTGTCTCTCAGCTCTCCCTCTGAGAAGATGTTGTGTCTCAAGTGCTCTCTTAACCTGATGTTAACATTACCCTAAAAGCTACTGGGAAAATGCCCTAGATGGTCTAAGGACTTCCAGTCAACAATACATTCTGTACTTATATTTCTCAAGAATGAGGAACTGCCTCCTCTTACACCTCAAGCAGCAACGGAAAACTAGAATTAATCCCATTAATCCCATCCCATAACATTCCCACAGGGAAACATTTTGAACGGCAATTCAAAACGCCCCACTGCGCTCTCGGTACTGGCAGGCAGGGCAGAGCCAGCCCCGTGCAGTATTCCAGCAGCCAGCACATCCAGCCAGCAACGCGCTCCTTCTCCGCCCATAGCTCGGCGCCCTCAGCGGTCGCTTGCGCTCCATCTTGCAGCCGGCGCCCCGCCGCCGCCGCCCTCGCCTCGCCTCGCCTCTCCGGCCCCCGCCGCCTGCAGCCGTGCCAAAACTTGGGTCCGCGCCAGCTCGCAGCCGCTCGCTGTTGTGCCAGCCCCGGCCTCGAGTTTCGACGGCTCCTCCGCCCTGCCCGCTGTACTTCAGGCAGCGCCCGCGGCCTTCCTGCTCCCGAGCCCAGCCGGGGCCGCCGCAGCCCTTCTCTCCATCTGCGCCACTTTCGGTTCACCTTTCCGGGGCGTGGGTGGCGCGGCGCGGCCCCAAGGAGATCTCCCCAGGGCCTCGGAGGAGGCCCTTCATCTCTGCACAGGAAATACTTGACCTAGTGTGTCACAGGATCGCGTTGGTCTTGTTCGTGGCCGCTCTGACCTGGTAGCTCCTAAGGGCTTTCTGTCAACAGTGTGCCCGCCGGTCCCCGTGCTCCTCTTGGTGGCCCCCACTGATGAGCTCGTAGCTTACCGTAGAAGCTCTCCAGCCTCTTTTGGACATGGCTGTCCCTCTCTCCTGCCATGCTTCAGCGCCCCCCCACCCTTCTAATACTCTGATTCACTCAAACCCTGTCTTTCTGCTCTGCATTAAGGATGCCACTCTTGCATCATCAGCAAATCTCTGCACGCAAGATATTTAGCAAACATGCATTTAGCAAAAGTACTAAATAAAACTGGTCACGAGGCAAAACTGTATTTGTTAACCACTCTCCAGCCCAAAAGCTCCCTGTTAAAAGACAACCCGTAATCTTCCTTCTTGAATTTGGATTCAATTTCTGTGTACGAGTCTTAAAATAATATCCACTACCATAAGAAGCTGCTGAAGTTTAAATTATATACCAGACCAAAAACACTTGGAAAAGGCAAACTGTCAACAGAAATTCAAAGGCTTCTAATTCTCAGCTCAGCGAGACACAGATGGAGAAGCAGATTAGTGCTTTGTCATTTACAGCGCTGTTGTAACGTACGTTTCTCATCTCCTTCATCTTATACTCCCGAGGCCTGGCCTAAAACCCACTGAAGCTGAGTGGAGTCTTTCCGCTTACTTCACCCTATTTTGCATCAAACCTTCACACAGTGCAGCTGATACAGAATGTAACCAGGTCCGTGTTCTGATTGGAGCCAGTTTATTTGATAAATAATTAGCCTGCAGCTTTTTCTTGAAATCTGGAACTACTTTAAACTAAAACTGTAGCAGTTAA